GAATCTCTGGAGCTTAGCACTACTCTGCTCGTCGTGTGTTAGTGAATGGGATTGAGTTTATCTAAGCAGTATAACATGAGATTAAGGGCTTACTCTGAGGAGTGATTGAGTAATTAGATTTATAATAAGATGCTAAATGTGTCTGAATACATCTGAACTTTTTGATACAAGGGTCGGAGTGTGTCATTCATTCTAAGAAAAGCTTTATTATGACTCATTGTTACATAACAAGCAATCAACATCTCCTTTGATTGCCTAGGAAACACAAAGTGATGCTGCTTGCTATTATAATAATATAAAAAGATTTTGTTTTGTCAGGGGGGTAAAATCCCCATCCGCTGGACCGCTCCCGAGGCTATTGCCTACAGAAAGTTTTCCTCAGCCAGTGATGCTTGGAGCTACGGTATTGTCATGTGGGAAGTCATGTCATATGGAGAAAGGCCCTACTGGGAGATGTCCAACCAAGATGTGAGTCACTTGGTCTATTCTAATTCTACTAAATTTTGAACAATAGAGTTTTCTAAGGCAGTTTTTCTGGGCAAAATGTATTTCAAATTTTTCTAGGCAAAATATATGTTGTAAACATCATTCAGTATTTTTCAATTTCAGTTTCGTGTAAACCTTCAAATGCTTTATTACAAATATTACATATGTATTTTATATATATATATATATACATAACAAAATGTGTAAAAAATTTAAATATACACTTTTTTTTTTAATTTACTAAATTACAAGTTATAAGAAATTCAACAAGTCATAGCATTTTTATCAAAATACACACACTCACACACAAAAAAGATGCTTTGCAAATAAGCTAATATATATATATTATTGTTTTTTGTGTATTTTGATAATAATGCTATTACTTGTTGAATTTCTTAGAATTTGTAATTTGGTAAATTACTAAGGAAGCTTGTTTCTGCCACAGAATTTAAAAAGTTAATTAATTAATTAATTAATTAACTAATTTACATATTTTGTAGGTAAATAAATCATAAAAGTTGTTTTGTTTAAAAATAATTTTAATGTATTAGGTGGTGAGAGGGCCTTTTACGCCATTAATACATTACACATTACTGTTTTCAGTTTATTTTGATAAATAAAATTATTTATTTTTGTTTAATAAATATACTGTCATTAAAGTGTTCTGAAAGTGTTCGATTCTGAAAGCTTTTTACACAATTTGAAGGAAATCCCATAATAATTCAATATGGCTTTACAATAGTAAAAATAAATATATTTTATTATAGCATATGATTAATATCATATTTTTGGTGGTTATGTCTAAGGTGCACACCCGACCTAATAAATTATATTGATCATCCATGTGATGTCAACAAATGGAAAATTCAGCCAGCTATTTATTATGATGTCAATTATTTTGCTTTTGACCTCAACATTATGAGTGCTTTTTACCCCAAATACCATATTTTTAATTCTTCAGTGTTGATTAAATTAAATTAAAAGACTTAGTCTCAAAACATATTATGTCATTTTTTACATGGTCTGGGGCTGCTTTGCAGCTTCAGGACCTGGACAACTTGCCATAATTGACGGAACCATGAATTCTGCACTCTATCAGAAAATCCTGAAGGAGAATGTCCGGCCATCAGTTTGTGACCTCAAGCTCAAGCGCACTTGGGTTATGTAGCAGGACAATGATCCCAAACACACCAGCAAGTCCACCTCTGAATGGCTCAAGAAAAACTAAATTAAGGTTTTGGAGTGGCCAAATCAAAGTCCGGACTTAAATCCGATTGAGATGCTTAAACAGTCCATTCATGCTCGAAAACCCTCCAATGTGGCTGAATTAAAACAATTCTGCAAAGAAGAGTGGGCCAAAATTCCTCCACAGCGATGTGAAAGACTCATTGCCAGTTATCGCAAACACTTGATTGCAGTTGTTGCTGCAAAGCGTGGCACAACCAGTTATTAGATTTAGGGGGCAATTACTTTTTCACGTAGTGCCAGGCAGGTTTGGACAGCTTTTTTCCCTTAATAAAAGAAATCATCATTTAAAAACTGCATTTTGTATTTACTCGCATTATCTTTGTGTAATATTAAAATTTGTTTGATGATCCGAATCTTTTAAGTGTGACAAATATGCAAAAAATGTAAAAAAGCAGGAAAGGGGCCAACACTTTTTCACACTATATATATATAATAAAAAAGTGGGTTTTTCAAGCAGTAAATTACTTTTATCCTGTAAATATATTTATATTCACTTTATACTCATCATGAACTTGCCAATGAATTGCCTCAGTTGCAGAAGTCTCATCCTGTTGTTTCCTAAACAGTGATGTGAGAAGAATCGGAGTGTCTCTGATTGGCCACCAGAGGAGGATAGTGAGCAGCATACAAGCACTACGCCTGCAGTTCCTCCACGTTCAACAGAGTGGCTTCCATGTATGAAAATCCACATATACACATACACATACTCTCATACAAGCGCTTCTCCCACCATCGCTAGACCCCCAAAACACACACACACACACCCTTCAGGTCTGGACTGTCTGTCTGTCATTATGAGACATGCTCCACAGCCTCTGTTATAATCCAGCAATCTCAAAGATCATGAAGAAACTTGCCTAATGTCATGAATTGTTTGTCTTCTTGATGAACTGTGTGTAACAGGAAAATTGGACCATTTACCCGGAGGAACCACAGTAAACAACGGAACAATGGCACCATTCTGTTGTTACGAAGATGTCATCTGTCAATCATCCTGCAAGTTCTGTGATTGACTGGACTCCAATCCTGAGAACTTTGAATAGCATATTTGCTATTTTAATGTATTAAATTATGTGTCTTAAGAGATTTTCCTGGTTTATTCATCAAGCCTCTGAAATGAGAGACTATGGATCTGTTGAATGTCTTCAGCTTTAAATGGCTATTATACATTGTTTATCATATCTGATATTTATCCTGATATTTATATGTACGTGTGATTTTTTTTTTTTTTGGTTGCCTTTTGTTTAGTTCCTTTTCTAAGCAATATGTGCAGTCTTTAGAAAACCAAGAAAAGAGCCAAGGTAGGGGGTGGAGAGCTTTATCTTGCTCTGTTGAAAAAAAAAAGCCACACAAAACCATTGACTTCCTCAGGCTGTCAGCGAGGTGGTAAAAGTCTGACCTTTCAGAAGACTGTAAGCCATTTTCTTACTCCTGTGCACCACAGTCAAATTGAACAAACTTAGACAAATCCATTCAGACCGAGATTTGAGAACTGCACACATTTGTTCAGTCTACTTTGGTGTACAGATTCTATAGACACTTCTGATATTGTATCAGTTTGCCTTGCGCCGTTGAAACTATTGTCATATAGTCAGTGGAGAATATTTGAGGTGAAAGGTTGCAGTAAAATGTTCTCCTATAGAAGACATGACAATATAGCACTCTGCATGTTGGCAAGTATTTTTCCCAACACAGCAGGCCTACATACACACATATCTTCAATGGCAACATACGCATTTGCAGTCTCTTTCGCTTCCACCAGGCATACAAACGCACAATACTGTACCATGTTCAGCTGATCCTTTTGGCTCTTTGTACCTGAACACATGTTCGGGACACTGAGACCACTTGACAAACTTCAAGTTGCAATGCGCAAACGTCGAAAGTGCAAGAGAACCGAGTGCTTACTTCAAGCAGGGCAAGGGAAAACTCTGGGCAATCAGGTCATAATGTATTGTTCATAGTAAACTAATTGTACATTATTTTTTATAATTTATAAAGAGTACAGAGAGATAAAGGTGATATGTTTATAATTGTAAGTCTATACTATATATGAAAACAAATCTAAATGTATTTATGAATATTAAATATACAAATTTAAAATTAAAATAATACACAAATACAAGTAATAAATTAAAATGCAATAAATAAAATAATAATATATTACAATAACAACATGGGTGTAAGCAGTCCTTTGCATCTGTGTGTATCAAGGATGCATTAAATAGATTAAAAAGTGACAGTAAAGACATTTTATTATGACATTACAATGTTTATAATGTGAAAAAATATATTTCAAACCAGTGCTGTGATCTTTTGAACTTTATTCAGAGTTTTCACAGAAGTATTAAGCATGCAGCACAACTGTTTTGTGATAATACTATGAATTGTTTCTTAAGCATCACATTAACATATTAGAATGATTTCTGAAGGATCATCTGACACTGAAGACTGGAGTAATGGCTGCTGTGTTTTCAGAATAGTGATTTGCTTTGCACTTCTCGGCCACCGTACAGATCACATCAAACCATGCAAATTATTATTATTGTTATACTTCATTCTCAAATTGTTAATGTTAACAACATCAGCATTGTGTGACTATGAGTATAGTGTGTATAAGCGAGTAGATTTCAATTTCTGTACAGTCTAATCTCTAATTGTCATACCATTAGAATTTCATATTAAGGAATTATTTTAACCCAAAAAGCAAATTATGCTCCCATCGAGCTGGTTGTTTTTATAATACAAATCTTGTGTAATCCCAGGCTATCTGTAATCAGAAGCCCATTTATAACTGGAATATAATATAATTTTATTCACATGTGTTTCATAAACACATAATCCTTTCTGGAATACAATCCGCCATCAAAATGATGCATTTAATTATTCCCGATGCTGTGAGAAAAGGCTATAAATGATCGGCCACCTGCAGGATCCTCACATGCGATAGCCTAGTAGCCGGGACAACTTCTTTATGTTTACAGAAGTGACGTAATGACGCAGTGCCATGCTCGAATTTCCCGCGAAAACCTACCCGTACCACTCAAATTAGAAAACATTATTATAAACTGACCGTTGTGAATCGGGCTAAAGTAAGGCAATAGTTTTGAACACTGACTGGTTATGCACTTGCTTAAATATTGATTGTGGATCATTTTTAACTAAAAAAAGTTACGGACTGCAGCTTTAAGTAATAATTATTTTTAATTTTATTATTTCAAATTATACTGTTTTTACTGTTTTTCTGATTAAATAAATGCAGCCTTGATGAATATAAGAGACTTTAGCATAGCATAATTGTCTCCCAACTCTTTCAAAAACATTCAAAAATCTTACCAACTTATAACTTTAAGTGTCACAATTAGCTGGAATTCATATTATAATTAAACAAAACAATATTACTTGTAGTAGGAGAAGATAGTATTTTATTTATTTGTTTGTTTTTAAACAACTGAGAACTCAGCAATTGGTGCCTTGCTGAAAAAAGAGACGTTTCTGTTGTCCCAAATTGTTTGTCAGCCTCTGGATGCATCTAATGAATAATCTAATGGAGCTTGTCTTTGATGCGATCTCTTTCCAGAAGCGTCCCATCCAAATAGGCAAATGGGGCTTTTTGACAAGCTTGCAGGGTGGCTGGGCCTGAAGAAGAAGGATGTGAACGTGCTATGTTTAGGTCTGGACAACAGTGGAAAAACTACCATCATCAACCAGCTAAAGCCATCCAATGTATGTCTCACTCCTGTCTGTAAACCCGAATATAACATAGTTTGGTCTTCACCAGTTTTGTTTTTGTATATTCACTTGATTTCTGTTTTGTATGTGAGCTCACAATTGTGATATTGCCTTTGTTCCTTGCAGGCTCAGGCTCAAGACATTGTCCCAACTATAGGTTTCAGCATAGAAAAGTTTAAGACTTCAAGGTGAATATTTGAAAGCGTTAACTATAGATAATATTATTTAGTCCATAGGTGTCTGAGAACCATTTGTCCTTTCTCAAAATCTTACTAACACAATATCCATGTTTTCCCCATAGTCTTTCTTTCACAGTGTTTGACATGTCAGGGCAGGGCAGATACAGAAATCTGTGGGAGCACTATTACAAGTGAGTTTCTCTGAAATAGACTTATCTGAATATGTTTACTGAGCTAATGGAGTTGCATCACCTACTTTAGAATCGATCTGTGTTTTTTGTGTTTATCCTTGTTATGTTGTTTTCAGGGAGGGTCAGGCCATCATATTTGTGATTGACAGTGGCGATAAACTAAGAATGGTGGTGGCAAAAGAAGAATTGGATACCCTTTTGAGTCACCCTGGTACATTTTTCAGTAATCTCTGTTTTAGTCATCATTTTCAGTTAGATCTAAATTAAAGGAATAGTTCACCCAGAAATTTAAATTTGCTGAAAATGTACTCACCCTCAGGCCTTCCATGATGTTGATGAGTTTGTTCTTTCATGGAAACAGATTTGGAGAAATTTAGCATTACATCGCTTTCTCACCACTGGATCCTTAGCAGTGAATGGGTGCCGTCAGAATGAGAGTCCAATCAGCTGATAAACACATCACAATAATCCACATGACTCCAGTTCATCAGTTAACATGTTGTGAAGCAGAAAGCTGCATGTTAGTAAGAAACAAACTCATCTACTTCTTGGATGACCTGAGGAAGAGTACACTCTAAAAAAATGCTGGGTTGTTTCAACCCAACTCTGGGTCAAATATGGACTAACCCAACCGTTGGGTTAAATTTTTACCTTAAATTTTTAACCCAAAAATTGGGTTAGTCCATATTTGACCCAAAGTTGGGTTGAAACAACCCAGCATTTTTTAGAGTGTACATTTTCAGCAAATCTTCTTTTTTGGGTGAATTCCTTTAAAAGCGCCCTAATGCTCACATATGTTTTTTTTTTGGGGCATGCTTAGATATTAAGCACAGAAGGATACCTATACTCTTTTTCGCCAACAAGATGGACCTCCGGGATGCACTGTCAGCAGTAAAGGTCTCCCAGCTCTTGTGTCTGGAAAACATTAAGGACAAACCATGGCATATCTGGTAAGAAAACAAAATAATACTTTTTTTGTTAGATTGTGGTCTACTTAAATTGAAATGATTTGCATAATCAAAAAATTTTTTTTAAAGCACTATTCTGACAGGGTTTGTTTTCTAAACACTTGAAGTTATAGTTAATAACTGCACATCTGCAATGCGTTTCATATACTGATTTGGTTGAGATTGGGATCTCAGAAATTATTATTGATGATGGGGAGTTGGAGAGTCTATATAGACCTTAGTTAGGTTAGATGCCATACTGAATTTAACAGGGATGAAAACTGTTATCTGTTAGGAATAGTCTTGCCGTCTTTACAATGGCATGCACTAAAGATTCTAAATCACGTAATTTTCACAATTCACAACTTTCAAAACTGATTTATTGAATTTCTTTCTAAAGTCTGTTTGTCAAGATGTGGGCAAAATGGAAGGACTTAAAATAAACAAGGTTTATATAAGTGAAGTAATTATAAAGTATGCATATAATTGATTAAAGGGAAGTCTTTAATTATATTACACAATTAAGGGACTCATTATTGATTTAATTTTTTATTTGTACATTGGATGGGATGTCAGAAGTACATAAACATAAATAATCAAGCTAATGCAGCAAGCAGCACATTAAGAGGTTTAGCTTTAGTTACAGCATTCAAGAAATGTCATAATAAATGAGGAAAAGTGTTACATACCGCAGAGACAAGCATTCCTATCCAGACGGAATTAAATTTTTCAGAGGAACCCTGAGCTAGCCAGGGTAGGTAATTTGCTCTTTGATTTTGACAAAGGTTGCGTGCGACATGTTCAATTCAGATGTTAATAACACAATCACAAAGTACGTCTGTGACAAATTTGTTTAATCTCCTCAGGGTAAACCTGCCCTGTCTAAAATAATGCTGAAGAGGTTGTGCGTGTGTGTTTATTTACTTTTATATATATATAT